CGTTTTCTTCAGAGACTACAAGTCGAGTAGTTTACGCCAGCTTAATTCTAGGAGTAGAATTACGCATGAAGTTATCCTCCATTGCCCGCTTAAACAGAAGAAACATGAGAATACAGGAGGCATCAACATAGCGGAGATAAAGTTTGAAAAGGTAACACGAGTTGACCGTAGCAACAATTCAATCAAATCTTCAAGTTCACCCATAAAAAAATACGACTACTTTGCTTAAAAAAGAGCAAATTTAACTAAACTGCATGGCTGCTGTACATGTATATATATAACTAATACGAATTATAACTTGAATGAATCTTTGAAATTAGTTTATAAAAACATAAATGCATTCTGAAATCCCTCTGTTTCAGAATTGCTGCAAGCGCCAGAAAATGTTTGCTTTCGGGCTTAGTACATTATCTAATCTATGCTATATTGTTTATTGGGATTAAGAAATCCGCGGGCACGCTACTTGATTTTTAAAAGGTTCGCGTCGGTGGGGTTACCTTGCGTTATGCCTGCGTGACTCGTCTCACATTCCCATCGGCAGATGAGATCAAATGAACTGCGGAAATGGTGACATTTACCAATGGTGTAAGATTGAATATAACAATGTAAACGATGTAGTGCACAGACTACTGGAATTGAAACCAACCCATTGGTAGAAGTCATCTTAGTGAATTAACCATCCCAACAAAAACGCTCAAACTTGAACACTCTCAGTGAGACTCGTGCATTTCAATCTCCTGTTGTAGTTCAAATTGGGCTGGGTACTGCCTGACAAATCAGCAGAAGGAAGTTTTCTGTAGTTCATAGCAGATGACGTAATACAAGCTAAGTGTTGTGTCTGTATCGTTTATTTACTTTTACATACATATAAACAAAGTCTAGGGGCAAAATATTAATAAAAACAAAACTTTCACAAACTCGTTGTGGCAACTAAAACGTTTAAGCGGGTTCAACAACGAGTATAAAGAAATTGTATTTACTTATTCAATTATTATACCGTGTTTGAATATATTGATCGAGTTTTAACAAAAATACTTTACACCCATTTTTTTATTTTCAAAGGCGCACTCAGGTAAAAGTTTTGAAAGAATAGCGAAATATCTTCAAATAAATAAATGAGTACGCATTAGGAAAAGTCATCCAAACGCTAATATTTTGAGAGACAAACAGTCAAAATACATAACGAGATTCGCTAGCAAAACAACAAAGTAAACAAAATTATCATTTGTTTACGGAAACAATCATTAACGGAAAGTTATGAAAACAATGAAATTTAGCTAAAGTCAATTTCTGCACATTAAATAGATACATTATCAAAATTTGTAAATCATATTCGATCAATTGTGGATCTAATATAAATAAAAATCATATTCGGTTATTGAGAATAGTAAATGAAAGAAATATTATATGGGTTACTCTCGATTATTGTTTTGATATGAACGCTGGCTATACCAACAATATTTTTAAAAACGACTTCATTTCTTCGTATCGATTTAGTCATACCTTGCAATAGGCCAGGCTTGTTCTATTTATAAGAAGCAATATAAAGGCATATTTTAGCATAGGTTCAAATATGGCTAGCTACCCTGTAGTGAGGCACCCCGAAATCCGAATTGTTTCGTTTTTCGTCGCAAATTAGGAAAACACAGTTATCGCCACCGCGGTCTTTGTATACATTGCTTTTCGTTCCACTCTCTTGAGATAATGCGTTCGTAATGTCGCTCTTATGCCTTTCAAAACTAGTAAGAGATTACGGGACAGATACTTTTGCAGATAAATTGTTTGCCATACGCCACAATCACGAAGCTTTGCAAAAATTTCGAATCTTGTGGGAGAAAACAAATTGAAATAATTACAGTACTTGACAGAGTTTTCACACTGGGACAACTAACATACAAACAAATAGTTATACTGTATTTATTTTATAAATTATATCCATTACTAGCAGTAGTAATGAGTTTTATTCACCATATTTTTGGAAAAATTCATCGTAAGCTACATGATATATTACTATTTCTTTCTCCAATTTGAGTTCAAGAAAAACTACATAAACATCTTTACATCTTACTCATTATAAATGCATTTCAGTCCCGAAGTCTTTGGATTCGTATACGTACTTTTTATCTATAGCTAGGTGACGTTAAAATTTGAACCCAAATGAACAAAAAATCAATTTTTTTTTAAATTTTTTAAACATTTATCAGCGACAATCATATTGGTTTGTCTGTTGAAAAAACAAACAGAATCGTTTTAGTAGAAACGAAATTCGATTGAATAAACAATTAGATTCTAATCTATGTCCGGCAACATTCGTTCTTTGAAATGACATCTGTTTTACATCCGCTTGATCGGACATGGGCTATCGATAAATCGGGCTTTAACCCTGGTTTATCGTTACCCCAAATTCGATTAAGTATATTTTTTAAACTTACCGAAATCGACAATTTGATCTATGATATAATAATAGGAGAATGCTAAAAATGATATTGCAACTTTAAAAAATCTTCTAAAAACTTCTTTGAATTAAATTTGTATTGTGTGGGTGGAAATTAAGCAAAATTTGATGAAAGTTTTTTTCTGGCTAAAAAGCTTTAAACTGTGATTAGACTGACCCGCGATTCTAATTGAGCCGGACGAAAGAAATATTCCATATGTGGAAAAATAGGAAATTCTCTTCAGTGTGGCCATAAAATAGGATCATATTGCCAATCATCACAGTCGGCGGGCAAGGGCATCCGCTGATCCACCAGAAATCAATAGATTGTATTTAAAGGATTTTGAATTGACCTAAAACTAGACGCTCATTTGAGCAATAAAAAGTGTACGTTCAGTAAACGCCGCCATAGTTTGATAGAAGACTGAACTTCATCGATTAGGATCGGGTTTGAGCCGCACTGGGGACTCTTTCTGGTACAAAAATGAAATCAGCAAATAGCTTTGAACGTTTCACCAAATTGACAACGAAATGCTTGTTGAATTCACTAGTATATTTGACACGATTTATATACGAAACGCCCAAGACTATAGAAAATTATGTTGCTCATATTGATGACCAATTCAGCGCAAAATACTTTTTAAGATCTGTGAGAAAGCTTTTGTCATCTCAAGTAAGGCGTGAATCTTAAAATGTTCAACGTGATAAGTAAACAACAGATGGTCGAAGTTTTGACATCTTTAATACTGAGATTTAGTGTTATAATCACACCACCAATATATACCAGCTGTGATATGGGTATTGCGAAAAATTTCAAATATTCATTATTATGGCATGAATGGAAAATTGGAATCAACGTTACTCAAAAGGCAAAACTAATGTGTTTTTGAAGATTAAATTAGCCTTTCAGCATTAAGATAAAATTCAAATCAATTTTCAAAAATATGTGGATTTTGCACTTATCAATTTTGTTGTATGATGCATATCCAATATTCTGCATCAAACTTATTTATCGTCATATGGAAGTATTTGAAAATATTTACCCAAACGGGTGAACTACAATTAGAACTGCTATACGACTGAACTACAATGCTAATTTATTTAGACTGAGCAACATACATCGGGTTCATTTCAATGTGGCGTCAACAAGACGAGGCCATTTTGTATATCAATAATCCAGAAAGAAAAAAACATCCTTTCACTCCCAAACTCTTTGTCGTAGCGCGATGACAACAACTTCTATTGATTTTAATTTTACTGCGAAATGAAAATTATTTCTATCCACGGTTTTCAGTTGCCGATGGAACCGTCTATCGACAAGATGGGAAACGTGACTGTGTCACCTGGAAAACTAGCCATTTTTGTTTTCCCCAATGCTAATCAAGCTAGGGTTATGGGATGACAGCAACTCAATGACCATAATTTCATTTATCAACTCATGTTTGATGTAGCATTGTCGTATTTTATACAAGCGTGATGGGCGGTCTATATGATTTCAATTCTATTTGACTTCGTGATGTATGCCCTCTTCGGGAAACAAAAGGCGGTGTGAGCTAATAAATACGTTCTCGACAAATTTCATTAAGCCCCAGCACACGTTTCATGGTAGTCACGAATCGCAAGTCTTTCAACATGAACCGCCAAAGCGTATCGTGGTGTCAATTGAGGCTTTTGAATTTGTATCCGTTCGTCTCCCACTAAATCATGATATGATATCCAAAAAACACAACGAAAATAATAGGCAAAAGGTACATCACAAAGCCGCCATACGACAAAACAGGACGGTATAATATTTCGTTTTCTGAAAATACAAATCATTCTCTCAAATTAAACAAAATTCTGATTTGTAAAGAGATATAAGAAAATAGGAACAATTCTAATACACTACGTGCTTTGGAATAGCACTATCACAGATGTGTAACGCCATTCCCCGCATCTGGGCGCAATAGATTAGCCAATTGGCCCATTAGCTTATCTACGCCATTAAACCAATTCAGGTTTAGCAAAAATATTAAAATTGAGCAATGATTTTTATAATGCGCCTTTAATAGAGCTTTTATGTCGACGCGGATTTGAATGGTTTTCACGCTTAACTCTTAAATAAACAGCCCGAAGCTCTGCGCTAAGGTGTGAAGTATAAAATTATAAATTATAGAACAACTAACGTCTTACTTGACGATCAAAATATATATGGCATTTCCGAATGACTATGTTTCAACGTTTCAAAAATTTTACCAATGCAGATCTTTACCCGAAAGGCTTACAGGTAAAATTAGATATATCCGAAAATTTAAATTTAATCGAATAAAGTTTTATCAGAATATGTCTTAGTATTAGAATTACAATTCTATTAATTAACCAATTAGGTTAATTAATAGAGTATTTCTCTGGGTAGAGTTCTGCTTAATAATATTAACTGTCTATTCTAAATTCGTGATTTGAAATTTTGCTAAATATATGATATTTGAATTATTCGAAATTTAGCAAAAAACGGGGACACGAATTTGGTTCAATTGCAAATCGTTTCAAAAAAGTACTACAATTTTCTGTGTGGAATTGAGTTTACCTTCAGGCACGCCATTCTGCATTCATTTTCTATAGCATATTCACAACATTTTCTTCCAATCCATTCTCCCTGTATTCCTGTTTGCATAAAAAAACAGGATCACTTTATTGAAAATTTAAAAAAACATGCACATTAGGTTTAAGTGATGTATGTAAACTATCGTATTTAGTAGTTGTGTTTAGGATGATGAAAATTTATGACCGACCACCAAAGGGTATTCCTTCTATGAAAAATTAAAATCGTTGATTCAGCAGTTTTTATATTTTGGTGTCTGTGTGCATCAACAATTTGGCACAAATCATAATTTCGCATTATAAATTCTTTATTTCGAAATCAAAGTAATTATGAATCTGAAATGGCCATAAAAATTCCGAACGGTTTCTCGTTAAAACTGGAGGAATTAAATTGGAAGACGTATCTATTGAAAATGAAAAAAAATGAAAGTTACTTAACAAAATACGCTGCCCGCTCGTTTTTATATCATATCGCGAATGAAAAACTTTATGGACACATATATTGCACTGTAAATTTCATTAGCTTATTATAAGCAGTATTTGCCCAAAGATATATTTTATTCTAACCCATAACACGAGCGTCTGTCAGGCATGGGTCACTTATCCCTACAAAAAGTTAAGTGTGATATTTACCAGTAATCAGTACGTTCAAAGATAAAATTGTCCGGACAAATCTCGAAGTGTTTTTCCGGCTCATCATTTCATGTATCCGTCTTTAATCGCACGACTGGTAAGCCGCCGAGTAATCCAGAGGAATAAACTTGTTCAAATAAAGACTTAAGCGATTTGCAAAAAGTAAAAAAACATTGATATTACAGCCAACTTTATTTGCTAAGCTGTGTTATTGAAAACTGCTGGAAGTACAAAACTTTTGTTGATTATAATTATAGAATTATTTTACACATAACACATCTTTGGTCGTTCATATATCACGGGACAAATATTAAAAAAAGAAAGTCTTATTTTGAAGACATAACTTTACGTTTTGAGCCCGTATGCATTTGTAATAATAAAACTGATAAGCAGATTTTATGACAACCCATATTATTTAAAGTTTCCAGAGCCAGTTTCTATTACGTTTAAATAACTCAACCATAGAATACACTGCTATTCCGCTGTCCCTAAACACCGAATACATCAAAAAAATGTTAGTTTGAATTCGTCGAAGTTGTTGTTCAGAAAAAAAAACACTTCTCTTTGATGTGGCCCTTTCACTGATAACCTGAAACACTAAAAACCTAAATTCGTCTAAAAACTCAGCCGCAAGCTCCTCAAAAATCCACAAAATTTATTCTATATTAAACAGCTTTTGAACGGTAACTGAGGGCACGTGTTTCAAGTCTGGAAAACGACCAGAAAAATTGCTAATGAGCTAAGCAAAATCAACAGATTTTAAACCAAATTAACTCAACCTGAAAAAAGTTGACCACGAACATTTCCAAAATATGTCTTTTATTAGCTAGAGATTTTAAACTTTTTTATTATCGAAGCTGAATCGCCTCACAAATTAAAATTTTCGACTATCCATCCCAGTTTATTTATAAAATAGCTGACCTTCGTTACATAAATGAGACAATCCGGTATCTTAAACACGTAATCTGTAAAGTAAAATTAACGCCACAGATTGTTGTGTCGCGCTTTAATGGACCATACGAAGATATCAACCGGCAATCTTATCAGACTCAGATATTTTGCATTTGATTTGTTTCTTATTGTTGTTAATAACCGAAGATCGTCATATATATTTACAAGCCATGGGACCATAATCTACATAAAACAATTTCTTGGTGCGAATATCACTATTTTGACACTAAATATACCGCTAGAAATGTTGTATTCACCTTTTTTCTTATCTGCGCAGGCTGGCTTGTCAGACACATGCTACCGTGTACCGTATCGTATAATTGGGCAGTCACCTTAATTATGTCTAACCCAATGACATTCTCAAGGAGACCGTATCGCTTTCGACAACTTGTGTGACCCTTTTAATGAGGTTGAAAATATTTTTGTTTCACCAAGAAAGGCGAATCTATGTAGTTCTAACACATAATACTCTCTAATACCACCAAATTAAATTCCAGTGCATACAATGTCATATAATCGTTATATTGCAATTCCCAATATACGCTGCTAAATTGAGAATTTTCGAGAAACACAAAAATCGAAAAACCTTCCAACTCCACGAACAAATTTGCTAATGTGAAAATCAATTTCGTTACCTAAAATATATTTTAACTTGAAACACCTTCTATTAGTCCGATTCTTCCAAAAAGCTGGTATAAAAAAATTCCATTCTCTTTTCTATTTTCACTCACACTTTGACTTAAACCCTTTATATATGCTTCGTACAGTTATCAAGCTACCAAGTCTAAAATAAATGGCCTACGTCGGCAAACGCGGGATAATATCACGGGGAACGAGAGCGTCTTCCTTGCGACTCGCGAGAAAAATGACGCTGTCTCTTTTCGTCGTTCTTTACCACTCCGTGTAACCCCAAGCCTAGGTTATAAATGACTCTCGTTTGATTCTTTTTGGAACAAAATCACGCCTTCAGTCGCCAATTTGTCCATCACAGAAGACACTCTAAAAAAATTTCATGAGGGAATTATCTCGCGACTAGATTGCCAACCTAAGAAGGAAGAGCGTGCGTGATTTAGCTGATTTCTTTATGATATGACGGCTTGACAGTCGTGACCGCAAGTCTTCAATCAAATTTAAATAAGCAGCTAAATGTCGCACCAATGAATATCGGCTTATCATCACGTGGTATCATAACCAATGCCAATCAAATACGCTATGTGCCTTTATTCATTTAGTCCCGCGGCGATTATTTATTTTGCTCAAAATTGTTTTGAAAAAAAAACGCTGTCACTCAAACGCTGTAGAAAACAATTCGCCAACATCCTATTTAAATATACCCATTGATATCATATATCCAATCGAAAGCAACATTTTAAACGCGTCGGTTTCTATTATAATCATTGTTTTCGAGGATATTATTCGAAATACAGCATACCAGATAAAGTTAAAAAACATCGAATCTTTTAAAACCACGCCTAAACTAGAGGGTAAAGAGTTCAAGTTGTTTTAATCAAGACCCTAACTCAACATCCCTCACTTTCTATACAACATAGCTAAGCAAATTATTCAGCCGTTATTACTATATATTATTTGTACGAAATAATTTTTTTTCGATCAGTCGGATTTTTGAGACACAGAGATCCGTAAACTAATGAAATTGACTGTGTGGTTGGTATTGTTTATTCACTTATATTATTGATAAATTTCAACCCAGCAATTTTATGTGTTTTCGTCACGCATATATTCCAAATTGATACTTTAAAAATAATTTTCGCGACTGTAGAAACTCAACACAATGATAAAATGACGAAGGGTATAGTTATATAGTGAGAAATATTAATCCACAGGACTTCACAGATCAATGCGTCGGCTATTTTTCAATGTGTCAAGTAGTAATTTTGGGACTGAGAAATTAAATTATTCAATTTATTTGACATTCGGAAATGCCACCAATGAATTTTTGTTCAGGTGAGCGGCTATTTAATTTTATGACCAGGATGCGAATGACAGAATGATGGATCCCACAAACAAATAGTTTCTGTATAAAATATAAAATTAACTCAAATCAGTTTTTAACCTCAGTGCGGATAAATATCAATTTTGAATAACTCAAAAGGCAATATTTGAAATTTTTATACAAGAATAAAATTGCCTAAATAAAGCATACTTCAGATAGCTTATTTTTATTCCCTTTTTTGCATAGAAAATATGATACTAAATATAAAATTTGTGAAAATGACATGAGGTTAAAATAGATATACTGACGGTGTTCACTTGGAGTACCCCAAGTCTAGAGTCAACCGATATCTTCCGACAGCCACGTGATATCAAGTTTTCATTCTTTACAGACTAAATCTTCAAAAGTATGATATAATATTCTGTAATGCTATTGCAATTGGAGTGATGCGTTTAAAAAATATAAAGACACCATCCTTGCAATGTTGCTTGCGTTCAATTACGTAAACCCATTAATTTTATATCTCTTCAGGGACCCACTATAGAAATTGTATATGTGAAAAATCCTTCAGATGTGGCTTCAGCAGTGTTAACAATTTAATTTATCTGCATAAGTGCGGCCACATTCCTATTTATGACGCCTGCACTGCACGCTTTTGGAAAAGAAATATTTATGTCGATGGTTTAGGATAGCAATATTCCTTTGATCTATTATTATCGAACCGAGTTATAGGAATGGCATGGAAGTTTTATTCACAACTTGCAAGCGCTTGGTTTTCCAAGTCTCTTTCTTGCACAAACATAAATTAAGTCTCTCTCTTTTTCTCTCCGCTTTCTCTCTCTCTCATTCTACTCTCTCAATTAAGGTACCGCCGACGAAATCGATAGAAAGTTACTTACTTACTAATGGTCCCATTTCCTAGATAAAGATTGAATTCTATTTTCCTTTGAGAATTGCGCGTAGATGTAAAATGATATCTACATTATTCATCTTACGTCAATGAAAACCAAATACTAGCCACCCTCTGTGCAAGTTATTGCATATATTAAAGATTGCCAATCGTGGCGGATGTCAGCGTTGGTGGACACGATGAGTGCAAATGTATAGGAGTTTAAAATACTTCATTTAAATTCATATGAGTGAAAGTGCATGAACATTCAGATATGCACAGATTTTCACTGTATAATCTATTTTTTAAAACACATAGGCTTCGATTTTGAAAAATACGTCATATTTCGGGTTGGGTCTGGAGCCACACTCAGTGTAAATTTAGAGAATATTAATCTCGTTAAAATCATTTCAAGTCATCATCTCTTTAAAGAATATAAAAACTATTGTTGAATACCGTTATCTAAATCATAGGTACGTTTTTCCTCATGTTGGAAAACTTCAATTGAATATCATTTTGGGTTTGTACTTATATCTGTGGGATTCCTAACTTTAGCATTGCTCGAGTCTAGGACTTCTAAAATCATGTCAATTCCTCTGATAAGTTCAGAAAAGTCGCAAAGTCTGAACCAATCTGATTCAAACCAGAATCACGTGGTAATTTCTCATACTGCGGGTTATACTATTTACCAATCCAGAAGAAATTGGGATATTTTGTGAAAATTTGTAACTTGTTTATCATTGTTTTACTATCAATTTAATTGCTGCCCATGCGTTGTTGCAAAACGTTGTACAATCCATCGACCATGAATCGACCGACCATATTCGACAAAAGGCAAAATATTCAGTTTATAGCCATACCACGCTTGAATGCTCGATCTAAATTGCAGAAAACTGCATTTTTCTTCTTGAACTTAAAACTAATCTAAAGCCTCATGAGCTGTGTCCACGATCCCTAGAAATCCTTTATGCAAACATTACATGGTTACTTTGCTTCCATTGTTTGCGGTTAGTTCTAAGTAAATGAACGGACAATCTTATCTTCGCGATAGTTCGTCTCCAAGCAAAGTTAAGTAGTCGTGCCGTTTTCTTCACGAGGTGGAAAATTATCCAATATTCAGAAGTTCATTATTTCATCATATTTTTAATTATATTGAAATTCTCAAAATAATTTCTTACTCATCGCACGTTGCAAGTAAGTTTTGCTTTCATTAAAACTAGATTATAAAAGAATCAAATACTCTTAGGAAAATACTTTTTTTTAGTCGGCCAATCGTACCTTACTAAATATCTAAGAAAGGGGATTCGCATCCTAAATGCCATTTCCCTTTGACTGAACCAGTCAATTAAAGTAGCAACTATTTCATCTTTGGAACATTGAAATTTTTGCTGGATCACACTTGAATCGGCCAAATTTTCGTCCTATTACTCTTAGTAAACATCCGCAAATCTCAGGTGTGTCTTATCAAAAGTCGCCGTCTTAAAGACGTTGGAGTAACCACTTTACAAAACAAGTTTTGTATATTTTTGCCGTGTTATCAGACGACACTGATAAACGGAGGGTTTTTATTTGCTTTGTCAGCAACATTGTTAGCTGTAGGTCACGGAAAACTGTTTATTTGGTAGTTATGATGATAAGTAGCTATTTTATGGAATTTTATTTTCACCGCGTTTTAGAAATCATTCGTTTCAAAATAACATTCGAGAACAGTAAAAATACTATAAATCGTTGGCAGTTCATTATAATTTTATACTTATATTCAAAAGCGTACATTTAACCAAGCAATTTCCTCGAGAACTCAGCAGTTGTAACTTGTAAGACATTTCTTTCCGTTGACCTGTTTCTCAGAACGCGGCCCGATTACCTCCAAGGACAACGAAGAATGGTATGTCCAGACGGTTATATTGCCAATATACTTCCGAATAATTTCTCGATGAATCCTGGCACCCTTTATCACCTTGATAGGAGTTTTCTCATATTCTGAGTAATTTTATTTTCTTAGGTGTGGCTTAACTCGAAGTGAATTTTCATAAAAATCTATATTTAAGGTTTTTATGACTTTACGGCATTTTAACCAAAATGACGTCACGTGGCAAAAATGATGACCTAGATTTTTATCCTAAAATGACGTTAGTATTCTTGTATGACACATTCATTTAGAATACCGCCAGGTAATCATGTGATATATGATGTATAGGGTTGCGATTTGAGTCTAGTGGAGACTAGTTTTATGTATAATTTTCTCACTTTTATGATAATCAAGCTGTATATATTGAAATACGAGTTGATAAGTCAATTCGTTCGTCAGTTAGTCGATAAGGTTAAATAATTATAAAATAAGTATATTCAATTAATTTCAAAAATCCAGATGTAATTCTTCGCAATATTTACCAACTGAACCGATTAAACGGTTACCGCAAACTGCTAATGGTAAACAGTTTGACTAATCCTTCATGACAGGAGATCAAAGATATGAAGAGAATATATAAGATTTGGGATTTGTTTTCTAACTAAACTGAATAAGAATCAATATAGTATTCATCGAGTATAGTTTATGGAAAAATGTTTCATCGTTGTCAGATACATTCATTCACGAGAAGAATATGCCGCGTTGTCTTCAAACAAGATCAATGAAGCGTGAAGAAGACAAAATTGGTTTTAACGATGGGCGAAGTCATTGAATTCCGACAAGGCATGCAGTAAATTGTCCACAAATGTATAAAATTTTTCAAATATTCGAATCTTTTTCAAAATTTACTCCAGATTTTGGGTACATAGGCACGGATCCATTGAAAGATAAATAAAGTACAAACCCATGTTTACGGCTTCTTGACAGACTAGGGTGAAAATTTCACTATTTATGTTTGTTATGGAAAATGGATTGCACCTGATATCTCCGTGACCGCATTGATCCGATTTTGTGTTTTCTGATTTCCGCACGTTTTTCAAGCGATGATGACCTAGTTTCCCGTATATATAGTTCTGTTCGCAATATTTGGAAATTGTGTATATTGAAAATATTCGTGACCTATCCACTTCTTATGACGACGGAAGCTTTCTAAAATATGCTTCTGAAGTCGGTTAATATGCCGACAAAGAAGTTTCACGCCAACACGTTGAACACCATTAGGTTCAGCAAAATTTCGTGATTGTTTTGTACATAAGAGAAGAGGCCTAAACCACTTGGTTATATTTGTATTTATAAAGGCATGTTGACTGCCAAATAGCGTTATTGTTGGGGGTCACAATAATATAAAAATTAATATTTAGAATTTTCAGACACTAGGATTCGGCTGTAGACACAGTTTCAATATCGTGCAATGATGTATCATCTATATTTCAAACTAATAAAGTCTTGCAGACAACTTCTGTTTTTATTGAATTGTTGCGGCCGGTGTTCCTCATCAGTCCAAAACATATAAGCATTATCCAAAATAATTTAACTTCCATCCAGAATATATTAACTTAACTACTACATGCCACAAAATATAACTACTGCACATGTTTTGTTACGCTTCCAAATTAATGCCCAATTGCGACAAAAATGCACCCCGTGATAAATCACTGCTACGATCTAGCGAGTGAAGACTATTACCTGATGTCAATCATTTACTTGACAATTTTGCCATGGTACATATTTCCAAAGGACAGTCAGCGATGTCAAAAATTGTTTAAAAAGAGGCAATGAATATATTGACTTTTCAGTGTCAGCAAACTTTTGTTAAATTATTCGTTAGATTGGATCAACTCCAGGTGGATATCATGGTCAATGTGGTATATTACCTACGTTGAATAGAAATAAATCATGCAAAAACAAAACATTTAATTTAAAGGAAGTTCACTGTATATAATTCCGCTATGCACAACTATGCATGAAGCATTGATATATATATATATATATACTCCCCAAGGCTTGGCGCATATGACCAAATCTTAAAGAAAGTTAAAAGATGACACATTTAGGAATTCCAATAACCAAAGAAAGGAATTTGTAAAAAGTAATGAATGTAAAATAAATTCAATCCTACCACGGTGTTTACAGAATTATATGATTTACTGGGTCCAGTGGCAATACTTTTACCCAATTTACATAAAAGGATATTTAAGAGCAGGATTGAAGAAACCCAGAGAGACCACTGAACCACGAAAGGAAAATTGAGTAGCATTTTTTGATTAACATTTTATATCGACTTGGGTCGAAACAAAAAGGAAATCTATCCCGGTAGAGACAATTGCATAAAAAAAAAAATTCTTGGCAACATGGAACCTATACTACAAAAGAACTTGACTAAAATTAACTCGTTTCAATTTTAAATTTTATCAAGAGTAGTGTATATTGAGGCGTTCGATACTGCACATTAATCAGCAATATTCTTCATCATTCAACCTAATATAGATATTAGGCGTCTATTCATCCTAACAAATTGAGCAAACTAATCAAATTAATACCGGACGTAAAGGTGTGGTTTGTCATATCTAGTTTCAAGTTTAGTTCGCTTCATTATTCACGAACAGAATTTATATAACACAATTATTACAACATTCGGCTAGAATTTGCTGTCATTGCGTTGGTAATATTTGACAATCGTGTCCTTAAATTTGAACATGGATTTCTTGTCAAATAGGAAGAGTATTCAAATGAAATGTTGCATAAAAGGGTATTGTGATACGATAACAGGTAATTCATATTAAAATATGATTTGACCTGATTTTATGGTTGTTAACATACATGTATAAGTGTGATGGATCATTAATAGCTGTTTTTTTAATTTCATCAAACAAGTTAGTTACCATATTTTGGTGCTTTGACCTGACGTGCTATGTTATGCTTGATACATATGTAAACATAATATAATAAACTTTTAGATGTTTGGAATTTCAACCCTAGCACTCCTGCATTGCTTCACGTGATAGGTTACGTCCGAATGGAAATAAAATGAAATCGTGGCTGTGTTACGACTAAATTTTTTGAATAATAGCAAGTTTTCTATGCATATTTATAGAAAATTTTACGCCTAATTTGCTATGAAAAAACTTGTTTAAATGTAAATGTTTATTTGAATTTCATCGAATACACCTCTCTGTGGCCATGAACGCTGTTTAGTATACAACAGAAAAGCTTAGGGTGGTCCAATGTTCGTATTAACTACACCATTACTGTGTTAATGCGTAGCACGCGTGAACATAAAATGTATGATAGCGAGTAATTACTATACTACTATATCAGGGCCGGATCATGTCTTTCAGAGGCCCTAAGCACTTAAGACTTTGTTGCACTATACATATATATATATTTTATAATCGTTATTTATATATATATATATATATAAATAACGATTATAAAATTGTAACCAGTGTTTTGTGTTATCTGAAATTGAATATGTAAGCTTCAGTGACCATTACTGATTGAGAGCCACATTATGATGAATTTGCATGAAAGTTTTCTGAAAAAGTGTTATTCTTACAAACTCTGAGAGATGAGAGAGGTCTATGATGATACTTGAGAATTTTATTTCAACTGGACAAATTTTGAGATCTGTGTCGTCTGACCAATTCGAATTGTTCCATTAAACACTGAGGCACCATTGGAAAATCGTCTATGGGAATTTCTATGGTGCCCCTTCATTTGGTGCCCCAAGAACGTGCTTATTTTGCTTAATGGTTAATTCAGCACTGACATCTATGCTTAGTCACTGTAAAACAAGCATACCTGGTATGAAGCCACAATCAAACGATATAGCCATTTATTTCATTGATCTACTGGACTATTATATATACGGTTTTTCATTGGCAACGTTTTGTATCATTGAAAAGAATAAAAAGACTGCAATTTTAGGTGAGTCTTTGCCAAACGTATAAACGATCTTACCGCTTTATTGTTTGTCGCCCATTAACTTGTTTATGCATAAAAACATACGACACCAGATATAATTTAAGGATAATAGCGGAAATAAGGGTACTCCCGTAGTGTGTGTAACCTTCCGATTTCCCTTATTTCAGTTCTATTACGAGTTCGGGGTCTGTCTGTGTCTGCTCATAGGTTTCAGTCCCTTTACACAACTTAATTGATGTAAAGTAGGCGAACAAAAATTTACCTCTATATTGGTACATAAACTTCTGGAGCGCCGAAAAAAGAACCACACTGGTTAGGTTTTTCTAATATATATATATTTATATGTCACGAAAATACCCTGAAATGATCATACGAAGCTAATTTCCGTCCACTATACTTCGATATAGTTGATTACCCTGAAAAGTATTTACACTGGTATTCATAACCGGTACTTCAAAAATAATGCAAACAATATGTGGATTCGTAATCGGGTGAGATAAAGGTTATCCCTCAAGAGGTAAGAAGATTTCAAATCGAGTCTACGCTTTTAAGTCAAGTTGTTAGTATTTTTGAATAACAAAATGTTTTATATTGAAGGTTTGGATGTAGAGCATAAATTGGAATTATTCTTTGTGATATTATTATGTATATGGTTGATTTTTCTTTTCAGTATTGACTTGTTTTTTTTATCGCAGCATAACAGCTTACATAACATAATAGCATTGCATTTATGCACATATATATATACTCTGGTACTTATTTAAAGATTTTTCTTACTCTCTAGCCAGTCTAGCGCATAATGTTATAACTTTTCTCCTCGCCACAATTGTGACAATGTATTCAATAATATTTATCATGATCACGGATATTTCGAAGAATACAAACTTAAGTTGCAATTATTTGCTTTTTAAGTAAATAATATATTCACGAACAAACTGACAGCTGAGATAGATGGAAACTGATTCTTGGCCGATTATCCAGACTAATTCTCATTTGAATTCGTTGTGAGAAATAGCGAAGTGTACGGAGACACCAATTTCAGTCTAAAAATAATGAAATTGATAATATTTACTATATTTAAACCTAATGATAACGCATTGTTAATAGAAAAAAGTCAAATCGATTTCGAATATTCTGGTGTAATAATATTCACCGAACAAAAACAGAACCTTACGCACATACTTTCAATAACAACACGAGGATGGGAAGTAATGCAAACCAAGAAACAGTGGATATATATTGAGTCAAATTATTCAAAAGATGATATACAAACTCGCAAAATTAACAATAAGCTAATAAAGAACTATTACAAAACATAAATCTAACTATCAAAATTGCATAGTACATAGGAAGAATTTTATAGCGTTATACCTTGAAATTTTTAGCAACGAATGTAGAAGACTGTGAGATATTTTTCGAAATATTTTCCATCCACTCCATTGAACCAAACAAAGTTTAAAACAAGCCACCGTAAAAAAATACTATTTTGCAAGAAATAAAATCTTTCATTGGCATTGTCATTTATTTTATTACAACCTAGGTGAGGTAGTGAGTATTGGAGATGAAAAAAAATAACGCCAGTGTAGTATGATAAACTGCTTCATTGCCAACCAATGCGGCTAGTCATAAATGTGTGCAAAGTGACGCTACAAGTGTTTGAGTATTTTTAAAAACTATAAACATTAATGAAACTTACTCGTAAGCCAAGTCAGATGCAATCTTTTTTGTCTTTCTTCTCAATTCTTTGTAATGAGCTCGCTTTGCGTTGAAGATTGCTTCCTGGAGCTGTAATAAAAGCACATTTATAATACACTGCTAACAAAGTACTTTTTGTGTTATACTTAAGCTGCCAAAATTTTAAATTCAACTCACCTTGGCAATGCGATACATTGTTCTGACTGGATGCTCATCCATGTTTTCAATATCTGAATCGCATGTACGTAAGTATTGCATTTCCACATCAAACAGTTTGGGTTTCATTGCAGTATTAAACGATACATTTGGCACTATAACACAAGCATTTGTTATTTCACTGATTGAGTGGCGTTTTCTTTTGCACATCTTGAATAAATCTAGACGCAGTATTCGTTTAAAGTTTACGTAATAAATAAGATTTTACACTTCGATGGTAAATTGAATAACTTGAACTTACTCTGAGCTTCTAGTGTTATAAACTTTGGTTCCCCATTATCTGTCGAACTTGCGTTGAATTTTCCAACTCGAGTAAAAACCCCTCCATGAGGTGTTTTTACAGAAATGACATCTGATACGCCTCCGGGGTAATGTACCTCTAGGGGTTGTCCACCAGCGGTTGTTTCATCCATTTTCTTTACATGTTGCTTGAACTGCAATAATATGGGTCAATGAATATATTACTTTGAGGTTGTACAAATCGAATGCTTTTTGTATTTTGATGTTAATTATTCGACAAATGAATGAGAAATACCAATCTTCCAATTTATCGACAACTTGGATTTGGCAAGTTCGTTCTTTCTCAGATTTGATAAAAGCAAGAAAACAAGAGAAAAAAACGGTTTAGTATTCAATCATGGGATATGACGTCAAAAAGCGCAAACTGAATATAAAGATCAAGATTGGATTTGATTCATGCAGCAATTTTTGGCGATCGTTTATGTTGATGTTGACGATAAAATGGCACCATCTCAGGTATAAACAGTTTTGTATTTAGAACTTCTCTTGGCAGTGTCGGTTTGGGAATGGAAACTGCTATCAGTATTTATACAAATAGTACTTTCATTAGATAACCAATATATACCAAATTCCAGTGGACAAATAATACCTGTGCAGTAAAATCGAACCCTTTACTATAAAGTTTTGCAAAAGTTCCATGATTTTGTCCAGCCAATATATCCAGAGCATCGGAAGAAAAAGTTGATTTGTATTGAAGAGTGTGGATCCCAAACCTACAAAATGTAATAGTTTTGATGGGCTTCGAAAATATATATTTCTATCAGATTTTGTGCTACTCCACAATTTCATCAAAATAAATTAGTTTTGTGATAATATAATTACCTAAATCTTCTCTGCCTTATTTTATTTTTGCTTATTTGAACATTTGTAGCGCCTTGTCGACGGGCGTGTGGACTTGACAATCGGTCTTGTTTGAAGCAGCGTTTTAACTATGTGCGGATTAGATTCGATCGATCAATTAAATCACTCTCTACTCTGTTGAAGACACTTATTTACAAATTTTATATAATATCACTGGAGAATTGGAGACAAGGAGAAAAGTCAAAGTATAGCTACGATGACACTTAAAATAGAAACACTCATCTAAAATGCAGTCTTCGTCGAGTTTGCGGGAGGTATTGAGGAATTCGTTAACTGGTGTTTCACCCGCTATTGCAATTATTTATTTAAAAGGATTGGCGTCAAGCACCAAAAAGTTTTAATGGACTGAACAGCATCAAATCTTTCTTTCCAGGCACTCATGGTGAAATTAAGTGAATAATTGAAATTAACAAATTCAGTTCCTACCCTGCACGGTTGTACGACCAAGCGTTTTTTACTATTCTTCCAGAACGCGAACTAGTGTGTCCATCAGCAAATACAACAACGAAGTCGAATAATGGATCAATGGGTACTTTCTTTTTGGCATCTAAAATAAAAATAGTCTTTGCATTACATCATTAAACTACTAATCAATTATCATTCAAAATAAAAGAATCCTATCATTCCCATCAGTACAGTGTTGTCACAATTTGAACCTTCGATACGCTTCAGTGGATTCGATGGTTAGACCAATGGGGAAGCAATGTTGTGGCACGAGATTTCTATATCGAGTTCAGGGTATGTTAGATGCATAGCAATAAGGGTTTCATGTGCGTTCACTTGTAATGCATTCCTTGTATTAGTACTGCTCGTCGGGAGCCTTGTTTTGACAAAAATTATAAAGCAAACTGTCATATTAATAGTTCAGAAAAGAGACTTTAAAAAGTTCTCATAAATCATCAAATTAGTAAAACGGCTACGTATTTCCAAATCTGTACAATGCATATTAAAACTGCAACTGCAAATATACTCAATCAATAAAAAATTGCTTGTTATGAACTAAACCTTTTAGAAGTTTAACTCCGAGCTCCAAAGCGTCCGGGTATTTTGTTCCGTATAACTTATGGTCTTTCAAAAGAAATTTCTTCGCTGATCTGATGCTTCGTGGAGTAGCTCTTGATAATTTTCCCTTTCTCCATTTTTTGATCTTATGACCAAACTTTAAAATTCCTATGCGATCCTGAATTAATATATAAAATGCAAATGTAAAAATCGATAGCTCCAAACATATAAGTGAACTGCTCGCATTTTAAAAAATTGGTTCGTTAATCTGGACTCTGGAAAAACCCTACCCAGTACAATAAAATTATGACCATCTCATTAAGCTGAGTATTGAAAGATTGCATATACGGAACTGTGAATATCCCCTCAAAACCTCCTTTAGATGCTGCTAATCAGAAGAATGATCCAGTTTATGCAAGTCTCGTTACAAGCACTTCATTTTGATTGAATGAAAAAATATTTGTACAAAAGTACATTATCTTATGATACATACTAATTTATCAGTGTATCGGATTGGCTCGAACTGATTTCTAATTTAAAAAAGTCCTTGTCATCGTCTTTGTGTCTTTTAACTGAAAGTGCTAGTTTGGACTTTCGACCCTTGTTTTCATAAACACTCTTTTTTGTGGTTCTACTGAATCGGATGCAGGTTAATAATATTACATTGTGAAAGTTCCCGCCTGTCAGCAAATATTCTCGGACAAAATATTTTACAATAACTTCCGCTGTATGGAATTCCCTTCCACGGGGCTGCTGCATTTGCACTATTGTTTAGAATAATTAGTTCGATTCTCTTGTAAATCAACATTTGCTGCCAACTTCTGAGCAATGTTTCCTATATATATATATAGCTTTTAAAAATCATGTTGATTTTTTGGTCGTTTACAAAGTTACAACTCACTCAGCAGCGGCTCCTTCAAGCTTAAGTCTGGAGTTTGTAACCTTGCTTCGAGCAAATGTACATAAAAATCTCCTAAAACTTTTCCTTTGCTGAATAATAAAGTTTGAATGAAGATCATGCTTACCTTTGTAGTCATGGAATCAAGTACGTCCATCATTGCTTCATTTGCTCGCTGATCATTGTACACACTGTTTTCGTAATTAGCTTGCAGAACAAACATTATCATTCGTGGGGGATATAATAGTTCAGGGCCAAAATAGGCAAAATGTCTGATTTAAAAAAATATAAAATTATGAAACATGTTTTATAAAATTATACAGTTGAGTAACTTCTTCTTTTCAGCTTAACTAGAGAATTGCTTGGGAACGAGAAGGCATCCCATAAATTAATCTCAATACGCATTTATATATTATCGAAGCATGCTATTATGTTTTTATAAAATTTTTGTTGAAACGGTATTTTATTGCCTCCAATACACATCGAGTCATTTATATATATAAGGGTGGTACTCTATTCCCAGATATTTAGGTCAGGTTGGTATTTGAAATATTGAAACTTAATATAAATTCACGGTTATTGATTGTCAAATTATTAGCTACTAATAGGTATTGATAGAAATCGAAATAACTTACCCATGACCTAAAAGAACTTCGGGTTCTTCGTCTCCATCTAGTTTGTAAGTTAATTTTAATCTGGCGACTCCATTATTCGTAAACTGACCAGATTCATTTTCAATTTTCATTGTTAATGCATTTTGTTCATCTCTAGAACAAGATAACAATGTAAAAATACATGTAAAAACAAAAACTTAGTCGACATAAACATTTGAATGTCATTTAAGCGAACTGGAATTAAAAAAAAATAAACACCTGAGGAGAGTAACAGTTGCATTTTGTGCTGAAACTGATTTGAGTTCAATATTCCTTGTTTCGCAGATATTTATATTGACTGCCAGCATTTGGGTTGGTTTATTTCCCACAACACTGACTTCATACTCGTACCTGAGTTACAAAATTATATTAAATATTTTACGATTGAATAAGTCATATTTTTAATTTGAATTAACGATGATTTTTATACTTTCCGTTAACTTTTTCCAATACTTGTTGATATGTTAGTTTTAGATTCGCGGTTGTTAGAGAGCCAACGTTAACAATCAACATGTAGACACTATCATCATATTCCAACCATTTCTCACATGTTTCTAGTAAGACCTAAATAATAATAATAAATTGTTTTTTTAGTCCTAATTATATCTTTATGTCCGAAAGCCTAATTTGGCAGCATCATACGAGGGAATATTTGATGTGACATTGATATATTTATTGCTAAGGATTCATGTTTCGTTGTTTCGAATCAAAATATATTTATTCAGTGAAATCAGTTTTATGGCTGCCGAACGATTTAAACTTTTTAAAATAGATGATAAAATAACATTATTGCCAAACAGTCAACAATGGGTGCCAATGCACTGTACTACTGTCGTCATTTACCAGGTATTTTCTGTTCCTATAATAAACTGCTGTAGTCAAATAAAAATTTGTACCCTGCTACAACGGAAATTGACCGATACTCGTACTTATATTTCGATAATAGAAAATGATCTATATAGCCTATTTTGAAGTTTATTTTATTAAGAAACAAAGTAGTAGATATTTATGATGCCTTATGAATCTGAATTCTCGGCTAGATACGATCAGCAATGCTTTAATAAAAACTTGTAAATAATTTATTCGATATGATATTTCTAAATATTGCCATACCGTTCCATCATACATTTGGTTTTGCGCTCTCTTTTTCATTTTCAATGTTGCATCATATCTGTTATTGCCGATTGTCATACTAAGGTCAGTAAAGAATGCTTCGATGGGAGGCATTAAGTATAGCTTAGCCTGTATGATAAGAAGTAAAATATCGTGCTATGAAGAAGAACGGCCAGATCAACCATGCTGAGAAGAAACAGTTCGCTCTTCGTATATGCTCACACCACCAATTTTATAAATTTCTATATCGAGCAAACAGGATCTACTTCTTAACACTTTATATATATATATACTGGTGTGAAGTCGAAGAAAATCATAATCTGTTTTTTGTGTTTCATTACATGGGCACTGGTATTAGATATTTTGGATTCTGTGTGTAATGAACTGCTTACTACATCAGCACTTCCTATCATGATATGCAACTTACCGACATATATCCGAAGGATTTCAGAACTCCAGAAAATATCTGTTCGAAACCTTCAAACGGATCAGAATGTTGTGAGGTCACAAACGATTAAGATACAAATTTGTTTTTGTTGTACAAAACTTTAAAAAATTAAAAAAATTCAAACTCATTCTCAAATTCTGCTTTAACTCGAGAATATACAGATTAGTAAATCTGTTCGTATACAACTTCAAGAAAACTCGAGAATATACAGATTAGTAAATCTGTTCGTATACAACTTCAAGAAAAAAAAATTACCAACCTCTACCGTCTTATTCTCATCATTGGTGAGTTGAATGTTCATAGTTGTTTTGGCAACATGATATCGTATTTGAGTCGTGATTTCCGTAGTTTCTGTTTTAATTTAATTAAAATTGATTATCAAAAGCAAAATTACTTGATAAATAGTTGAAATGAAATAGCAGTGTTATAGACATAGTTCTGTTAAATGTTGTTTTTCTATTTATCGAATGATCAACATAATATAGGGTGTGTCTCATCTACTAACCGTCTTTATGAATATTTTTGTCAAAAAAAATATTTTGAGTGTCAAAAAATTGTCATAAATTTGAGTTTCATGAAGCAAAATGTGAACTAAAAACACTAATATAAGCTTTACTCACGAAATTCGTATGTGTCCCCTTCTTTTGTCAAAACTAGTAATCCTGAAAGAGTAAAAATTAACGATTAACAACAAAACCATTCAATTTTCAAACAATATAATAGAACTTACCGAACATGACAGTATGAAGAATGCAACCAAACATTTCTAGAGACATCAATCTTAATATGACTATTTTTATTTATATGAACCCTGGAATATTAATTGTATTTCAACACAATCTACGATCTTTTCATAAACAAAATTTGTTATTTCTGCCTATAACACGTAAATAACACATGCACATACATACACACATAACACATACATAACACTACTCGAGAATTGAAATTTGCTAAACTGAACAAATTCCATCAACAACAAGGTTTATAACTCGTTATTATCAATAACATCCTGTGCGTGCGATAGTTATGTTATATTATTGGTAATAGGATGCTATAATTGTTTTCTCTCCATTTCGGAAAACCCCAGTTCGTAAGTTTATATCACCACCAACAAGTCGTATTCAATTTATAATGCACAAATTTCGCGTGGGATGCAATTTTAGATTATTTATATCTGTTACTGAATCTAGACAGGACTCTTTTGAAATCAACGATGGTGTATTACATTTGAATGCAAACCTTTAGCTATAAACGTCAGAAACTGTGACAAATAATAATATGATGCTGGAAATATTTCAACGGATTGTCTGAAATTTGCTTTGTTTTTAAATTGGCACAAAGTTGACAATTAGTATGTCAAATAAGCATCAATAAAAATAGACAGTAAGGTTAAACTTCAAAGTGAAATGAACCTGCTTTGATGATAATTTAACAATGTAGCCATCTTGACAAAACAACTCACACAATGATGCAATTCTATGGCAAACGTCAATCAAAATCTTATGCTATCATCTCCAGGGTTCAGATATAAAATAATTTGCAATCACATTACAAACATAGAGATGCATATCACGAAGCTATCTCAGTCTGGCTAACTCCACATAGGAATATTGCGTTTGACCTGTTAACTAATGATCGAAATTCTGATATTCCACCGGAAAATACGCTAATGACGACGTTTATTTAATATAGTTTTGAAAAAACTATAGTTAGCCTATCTAATATGCAGAGCGATGGCAATTAGAGGAGAAATATTTCGAACTTTATATTTCGAACTAAACGAATTGCCCCAGCTTAGAACGAGGAGTCAAACTCGTTGGTAGGAATATTTGTCATTCGTTTGTAAAAATTCGTGAGCCGTGCGAAATGCATGTCAGCCTTCCCGAATTAAACCTTATGTACTGTTTTGAATTTGAAAAATTGACACCCTGCCTTTATCTTTCTTCTCAGTAAACACTATTATCGTTGTCTCGCCATATACCAATACAATCACCACCTTATAGTACAAATAAAACACCGTAGTATAACTAGTCTTCACATCGCTAATTTAATACTTTCGATATATCGTACGTTCACTGTTGTTGTTTTCGTAAAAGAGCTTTAAACGTTTTGGAATATTACAATAATATTTAGGTATTCTATTTTCTACTCTAATTCAAACCCATCTAACTAATTCAGTAATCTGTATTGAGCACTGTCAATTCATGATTACAAGTAGATGAAAAGAATAAAGCTGATTCAGAGTTTGTTTAAATTTGGTTATTTCAAATGACAATAGCTTACTTTTGTACATGCTTAATATTTGTTAATTAGTACTGCGGAAAAGCTAATACTAAATAGTGGCTTTTTCGAGAAATATTTTATTGCAATCAAGTTTTGCAGAAAGCCTATATGGTAAAATGCTTGAAGTAAAATTCCACATTGAAAATATAGAAAGCAAGAAGTTATTCATTCAATTAAAAGTTGTTTGTTTAATATTGACAGCTTGACAGAGATAGACTGCAAGAATTTCCTTCATGCGAAACGAACTATCCACCATTTAGTTGTCAAAGCATTGGTTCTACCTTTCCTAATGCAATCTGAATATATGTGTAAGTTCTTGAGCGAGCATGATACACGCAATCACAGTTGCTCCAATCATGATTGAACATGTTGGACCAGACAAATATATTTATAAATCGTGATTGCAGATCAATTCAATCATGACTGTATTATTTCCGCAATGCTCAAATCGTAGGGAAAGGAAATTTTAGCCTTCCAGACTAAAAATCAATTGATGACGACATTCGTTTTCGATGAAGCATGATTCATAAATGAAATGTGAGTAATTATTAAGTTATCAATGCCTCATAGTTGATCAACTTCTACCCTCCAAAATATGATCAATTGGAATTTATAAATATGAACGTTAAATAGAAGTGAAATCAACAGCAGTCAGAAACGCAGCCGAGGTAGTATGAGGTAGTGAAAGGCAATATTGTTAATCAAAATTATTTTCTATCGTCTACTCAGAGATTGTGAATGAAATTTATACTGCGGAAAAGCTAATGTTCAATGGCGAAAACAGGGTATATTTTGGAAAATAAAATTGAAATCAAAAGCTTTTCATATGTGACAGAATAGAAAGTTTGTACAAAAGTACAATCACAATGTTGTAAGTCAGGCAGAGATTGTGAATTGCCACATATTTCATTTTGCAAAACTTTATCGTTCATAAATAAAATTGACATTCAAAATGAATGATTTCGTTTTGTAAACTTCGTTTTGTAACATATTTTTATATTAAGGTTTTCTTCATCAACCAATTTGAAATGTATAAAGCTGCGAGAAAAATAGTGTTAGCGGCAGGATTATTGGTAATATCAATATATTCTATTTATAATGTTTGTTTTATCAACCGACTTCCTGCAGAACGATATGAAGAAATTAAAAACTCGAAAAACTTCAAAAAATTGAAACGTAAGATATTGAAAACACTGTACAACTTAACTTAAAACTCATAATGTTTAAAATTATTGTAATTTTCGAATATATTTGTTTTAATAGAAGGGGACACAGCGAGTGATTTAGAAAAACGCAGGAAGATGTGGAAAAAGATAGTAGAACCTACTGAATCAGAGGTATATTGTAAACACAAAATCTTTTATTATCTCCTTCCCTTCTTCTTCCTTATATTTTCCTACATCCTTAATTTTATTCATTTTCGCCTTCATTATGAAAAGAAACATAGATTGCCGGATGTCATTGGAATAGGCGTGAGAAAATGTGGCACAGGACCATTGCTGCATTTCTTGAGAATGCATCCACTCATACGAATCGGAAAAGGAGAAATGCACTACTATGATACTGCAGACGTTGAAAAGGGTATCGAGTTTTATAAGTAAGTTTCAGATAAAATTCTGGAATAAGCTACCGTTAGTCATGTTGTTACAGCATAAACTCTCTCTTTCTCTGTTGTTCTTGGCTTCATGAATATTGTATACGTTCCATATAATGGTATTTCGTTTGGGATAAAGGTTGTACATTTAGGGGCTTATGTGGTCTAGCATCATATATACTTACTTATGACTTGAAAAGCTTCCAATTAGCCTGATTCTACATTGTGGAATTACCTTCAACTTAGCTCAACAAACTACACATTATTGCTACACTGCATACAAAATTGCAGATATTAATGAAATATACTTTTAGGAATGCACTGCCGACAGCCAGCGACAATCAATTGATAATGGAGAAGACTCCAGCTTACTTCACTACTCTACCAGATAATCTACCGGATATTATTAAACGAGACTCCCCGCACGTGAAATTAATACTGTTATTGTGCAATCCGGTTAATCGGGCATTCTCAGATTATGCACAACGAGTAAGTAATTTTAAATTTTCCTGCTTTTTGAAAGCATTTCTAAACAACTGAATAACTATAATATAAATAGGAATACCGGTATAGTTCAAACTTCTGGCCTCAGTATGCTGGTAGTATGTTGTTTATCGACAATTTTAGTAGATAGGCTATCAGCTGTCTTGGTATTTATTGCACTATTCGTAGAAACCTCGGCGCTTCCGAAGTATGTGCACTAAGATGGCGCACAACCTGAACCCTAACTTGGTTTGCATACTATGTTCAGGATGTGCGCCATCTTGGTGCATATACTTCTGGAGGTCTGAAACTCATATTAACTCAATATCGTGTATGTATGCATAGTGATTAAGAAAATTGCAACGTTATCATTTGATGTGTTTTGAATGGCAAAAATTCTATATCAAGTTTGTCTTTTTATGTTATCATCCAGCGATTAATTAAATATTTTTATTCATACCCATCTGCGTTATAAGCTTCTTATATTTTTCTACTAGAGAACAAGACGGGACAACAAAACTGGTAACAGTACATTTAAAGAGTACTTTGACAAGTATTTCTATCCGGTCCAAAAGCAATTTTCAACCTTATCTATGGAAGACGATGACGCCGCTGTGACTGACGTCATAAAAACTCTTCGGAAAGACAAGCCAAAATTCAGCTTTGCATATGGTATTTACGCCTATTTTATAAGGCGATGGTTGAAAGTGTTTCCTCCAGAAAACTTCTTAATATTGAACGGCGAAGACTTTTTAACTGATCCTGGAAGTGTATTAGAGAAAGTTCAAGAATATTTGAACGTCCCAAAGGTATTTTTAAAGAATGATTTCATAAAGCATCCAAAGACTGGTCTCTTTTGCCTGCGGCCATGGTGGAATGAAACCTACAACTTTCGTTCCGAACTTATACCTCATAGTTCTTGGGAAAATCAACTCTACTGTGCAGAGAATACAAAGGGTCGAACACGATCTATCATCAAAAAATATGATTTTGATGTTGGTAGTTTTGAAAAGCTTAAAAAATTTTATGACCCATATAACAGATATTTGTATAATATTCTAGGAAAGACATTTGATTGGTAGAATTTTTCATAGCATTGTTACCTGTATTGGCTGGGCAATTGTCTCTTATTTCATTTATTGTATTCGTGGTACCCGATCAATGAATATCCCTAGATTATGAATGCCACAAATTAAACGGCCATTACTATGTATTACATCAAGGAAACTTTAATATATATACCGTATTTCCTAGCGAATTTGGCCTGATTTTGGGGGTAGTCTTATTAGGCGAGTATGATAATTGTTTTGGTGTCGCCTTATTATTCAATTCGTACCATAAAATACCAAATACCTTCAGCGACAGCATCCCCACTTTTTTATCATTGCCGTGTTGCTTTAGATCGGTAATGTTCTTCTATGGTGCACGCAATCGTGAGTTAGGTTGACCCCAATTAGATTAAAGAAACTCAAGAAAAAGTCATTATAGGCTATTTTAACCAATGCGCAAAGGCGGCGACCGCCTAAATGTCACTGCATGGTAATTTGAGATTCCGATGTTGATGCGATTTTACTACTCGTCTTATTGGCAGGCAGTGGCGTGCCTAGAGGGGGGCGAAGGGGCCAAACGCTCCGGGCAGCACATTGTAGGGGGCAGCAGAACCAAGCAGTAGCAGAGTTTGCGTAATCCCACATCGTCACGCTAATAACCGAATTGCATAAGTCATTTTTAGCAGTTTTGAGAAAAACGTAAAAAAACTTTCTAATGGTATTGTTATGCCATTTAGAGATAATAATTTACCATGGTTCAATTTTTTGATCGTAGCCGGATTTAAGTTAATTTGTATGACGCAGTTATGTGACGTCATAATGGCGCACTGTGACTTAGGCAGAAATGTGTCTATGGCTTGAGGACATGCGCAATTTTGCAACTTGACTATATGCACCAGTCCTGAAAACCAAACAATCCAAAAACGAATGTAATTCTCAGTATCTACAATGTCTAATCCCCAAAGTAGCTAATCTGTTTCAACTACATTATTTTTTATGTTCAAAAATACATATTTCACCAATATAACACGCTCTGCACACTCGCCGAAATAAGACTAATATTAACTATAAAGAATAAAACAGCAATGTACGCTTATATAAAAGCCAACCAAAGTGAATTGGACTCAGACAGTGAATATCACAAGTGAACGCCTTCCTTAAGCTAAAATCTGAAATGCAAAAACTCGTAAATCCTTCGCAGAGGTTATTTTGCCTTTGTGACGTCACAATGGTCCCGTGTTAAAAATGATAATTCATTATTACGAAACAATTGCACAAATGGGCATGTCATACAAAATCTCCATTTTTATGGGTTTCAGAATTCTTAAAATAAAATATGAGTTAACAGACAGGTGCGCTGCATTACACAAATACCTGCATTACACAAATAAAAAACTCAAAACCGCCAAAAGTGACTTACGCAATTCGGTTATTAGCCTGACGACATGCTCTTTTAGATGTGTTCTTATTTAATTAAAAGCTAACATTATGTGTTCTGTGGTGATGGTTATTAATTAAACAAGGGTTGTTTCCCCGACCCTTGACCTCAAAAAAATTTTTCTCTATTTCACAATGGCAACATTTTTTGATGCTTAGTTTAATAAATCTAACGTTTTTTCTTACTTGACCTTTATTTGATTTATTCTCGTCTATGACGACATCTATAATCTGTTTATCACCTAAATTATTTTAGAAGTTAGGTAAAAGGGGCAGCATTTTCAGAAACTCGCCTCGGGCAGCAGGCTAGTTTGGCACGCAGGTTATATGCGAAAAGCCATTTCTTCAGGCTTAAAAACGGGCCTCGTCTTATTCGCCAGGAAATACGGTATATATCATCTATTAATTTGTTTTTTGTTAGAACCACTACTTGCAAATGAACAGCAAAACCAAATTTATCAGTTAGTTTTTTATTCTGTTAATAATGTCGTATTATATGTAAGTATGCCATTATGCAATCATTTTCAATTTATTTGAAACTATAATGTCCTCTCTTGCCTAATGTATTCATTTTAAATGTCATACGCTAATGGTTGAAAGCTTGTACACCGGAAAACCCGATAGCGACGCAAAAAACAGATCGAGGCGACCCATATATAGAGAGCCGAATGGGACAGACCCCCGGGTTGTGATGGACAAGTAAAACCTTCTCAATAGCGACACCTTGCGCTCCTTCATCGTCTAAAGCGTTTTACGTGATATTGTGAACAATTCTTTGGCAATATTGTACATTTTATGCTCGACAGCTCTTGACAGAGAGGTGTTTTTGGATAGAGTAGAGTGTCTTGTTTGACTTTAATATCATCATTCCTTAGCATTATGTTTTCTTTTACCTACAAATGGTACTGTCACTTCCAATTATGAAGTGGGCAGGATGGGTCCACATGATGTATAATCTAGCCCCATATTTTAAAGGTAAATATCACGCGTAACTTCTGATTCTTTGTAATTATGCAAATTTTCCATTAAATTACTCGTTAATGGGTTTAACTTCACCTGAACTTTCATAATTCATACAGGTTTTATGTTTCCTTTTCATTTAGTTCCAACGTCATGGTTAGAGATAGATCATACCAAAAGAAATATTACAGGTTCAATGGTTTAATGTCAATTTCACTTTGTTGCAATGTACGCTCGCAAAAATGAGAGTAGACTGTACATGTGTGAATGTGTTAGTAAACGCGAGTTTAAAATTTGTTTGTATTTTATCTGGTGTGTATTCATAGGTGAAACCTACAACCTAGAAGTACGTTCTGAGGAACATTCTGTTAATTTGCGTCTATTCAAATCCAAAGTACCGTGCCCCATATTGAAATAATTAATTCAGCCAACTGATGGCTCCAATTTTATGTGTATCTGAAGCCTCATTCAGAAGCATGCCGTGAATCTAATTTTGATTGTTTTCGAGCAACAAGTAATTTGGTCCTGCGCGCATTCGTTCGTAACCGTTTTTATTTTTTTTTTATGAGATCAGGGCCCAGGGCAGGAGGTCTGATGTTTTTAGATATTTCAAAAAGGCCCCTGAACAATATTTCTAATACACTATAAAAACTCTTACTCGTTTACTTATAAACATATACAATATTTCGAAATATAATAATATAAAATATATAATGGGAGGTGTTGATGATATCATTGAAAATTAGCATTCCTACATAACGAAATTTCAATTCGGTACTTAAATAGCTCGAGCTTTTTCGCAAATTTGGCGTAAAATCAAAACTAAACTAAAATAATACAATGAACATAAACTTATTGTATACGTAAACTGTGAAATTTCCACTGACTTGTTCACCGTGCAAAAAAAGTAAATAGTTAGATATTTTCTGTTTAACGTCATCAATAGTTCAAATAAAAAAAACCATTCATATATAGAATTATGGGATGTACTAGGGTATTGTGTATTAAACTTCAGGTCCTATCTCCTTGTTTACTTTCTATTCCGGATCCATATGTGGCTGTTGCCACAAGGATACGTAACTGAGATAGTATATATTATAAGGATGGATAAAAATAAAATAATCTCTTTCCACGAAATATCAAGTATATTTATGAGCTTTCGTTAGATCATATTCTAACTTCTTCAGATAAAACAAGCATTCGCTATTTGGTTATACCATATCTTGTTATATCTGAAGAAGTTAGACTATGATCTAACGAAAGCTCATAAATATACTTGATATTTCGTGGGAAGAGATCATGGTATTTTCATATAGAATTACGTACATGTCTGTTTGATCAAAATACTTTGTTCTATAGCGCAGTATAAAAAGGGAAGTCATACAGCAAGGATTTTTCAACTGCTAATCAAGTTGAACAAATTGTTTACAAAATCGTTAACAATCAGTTCATAACGACAGGTACAATTAGTTTTCATTTATAAAATGGTGCAGTTGCACCAATCATTTGTATCCCAATTTTCTTCGTCGACTTCAGGCATTTTAATATTTACCGATTGATGCAAAGGACTAGAAACTGGAGTAGAATGTTTTGGCTGGCTTTTAGGTACTCTGATATCTCTGGTTGGCAAAATAAATTCCTCATTAGACAATCGGTATGATCGAGACGTAGATAGCCAGTGCTCACGGCAATGTGGAAGCGTCTTTTGGCCCCCACGAAGAGTGACTTTTCGGCCATCATTTTGGGTTGTAAACATCCATTCTTTCAATTCATTTTCACCCACAATATTCACTTTGATCTCGCCAATAACCCCACTATATTCTCCTACTCTGAACACGTAAAGTCGTCTGTTGTTCAGACTGTAGTATTTCCCATCTCGCTTGAAAACATTGATAGTGGAAAATCCACTGGGGTTCAAAATAAGTTTGCGTACCTTTTCAGCTACAATCGTTGAGTTACATTTCCATTGCCGAAAGTAGTAAGCAATTGTGTCATGAAATAAAGCGTATTTCAGAAGGTCGAAGATATTTTGTTTCCAAACACCTTGTTACCCATTCTAACAAACGTTCTTAGTCTATTGTTCTTAACTAAGAATGTGATATTCTTATGTATTCAATATTACGTGTTCACTTCCTCAATTGAATCATTCCTCCATAACTTTATGCGATTGCTGTGCGTCATGAGCGTAGCCCACTCGTGAAAGTATTTGATTTGAACTCGACTCACCGTATGCTACGTTTCCTCGTTCTTCCAAGTTTAATCCAGATATCAAGAGATCGATATCACTCTCAATAGCTGGCCCTAACTTTGTTGAGAACGCAGGTTGAAAATATCGGGTACAAATCCCAAGTCGTTGGTTGACAAAGCCCTGAAAACGACGTATAACGGGATTAATCACGCTTTAATGAGGAGCAAGGACAGCCCAAGACAAAAAAATAATAGGCATAGAAGCAACAATTTATTTGGCAACTAACATTTTTTTGGAGTTCCAGAAGTATGTGCACCAAGATGGCGCACAACCTAAACATAGTATATGTGTACCGGTTAGGGTTCAGGTTGTGCGACATCTTGGTGCTACACTACTGGAGCGCCAAAATTTGCAATCGAAACAAATAGTTTAAATATAACAAGTTTAGGCTCTTTTGCTGTTAAATCAGTTGTCAAAAAACCCCAATCACCTAATAGCTTAAAATTGGATACAACCATGGTCTGTCTGCGAATAAACTGCTCAAAAGTCTCTACTTGACTCTGTTACATTATTACTAACTTTAAACTGAAACTGCTGTTCT